GGTTTTGGCCCAATCCCCCTGTTCCATCCATAGGGAAGGCTTGTGCCCCAGCAGTGGGGACATTAAGAGGCTGATGATGAAGTGATACAGAATGAGTCAACATTATTGTTCTACAGAAATAAACTCCAGTTTTCAATCACACGTTGAGTTTATTTTTCATGTTCTTATTTATAATTTAAATGAAGCATCTTCTAAACTTATGCGATGTATGTAAGGAAAGTCGTTTTATCGCTTTTACGGTGAAAACTTTAGTCATAAACTGCTTATAGCATCATATTATGGCGACTATTATACGAGCATCTGCCGCTATATTGCGTCGCGACTAAATCGTTAAAAAAACCTTTTTCGGTGTCCTACAAACAGTTTTTATTCGAAGTGTCATTCATATTTCAAACAGCTTAATTCAAATTAGCTTTGTTTTTTTTTGTTAAGTTTCGAGTGCGCTCAGCTGGTTTTAAAATCGGGCTAAAGACGTTTCTGTTTATTAAGTTTACAAATAATGTTTTACGAAGATATCATCATCATCATCATCAGCCTATTAATGTCCCCACTGCTGGGACACAGGCCTTCCCTATGGATGGAATAGGGAGATTGGGCCATGACCCACCACGCGGGCCCAGTACGGATTGGCGGGTGCTAACGATTGCAGATGCAACCGGGACCAACGGCTTAACGTGCCTTCCGAAGCACGGAGGAACTCAAGATAGAATTTTTTTTGGTCACCCATCCAATGACCGACCACTGCGAAAGTTGCTTAACTACAACGATCGCAGCCGAAAACGCGCTGACCACCTGCGCCATCGAGCTCCTCACTTAGCTCCTTACGAAGATATACAAAAATAAAAATAGTGACTTGGCAGATTCTTTTTTTATTGTTAGTTGTGATAATATACAATAATGACAAATTTTTGAAGACTTGTCGGACCTAGGTTCACATCGCTTACGATCTCGCACTATAGTTTCTTAAACTCGACTGTCCATGAAAACACTCCCTTTTGTCTGTGTGGCAAATTTAGCAGACGGCCATTTTTAATGTTTTTTTCGTACCCAGTCACTTACATACCCAGAAATACTTACATACAAAGTAGTGGTTACATTCGAAACCACCGGCACGGATCATCCGTCAGAAAAGTTTCGGCAGTCTGCTAATTCAGCCAAGCAAAACTCTAAACAATTCATTGTACCGAATTGTTTTCGCTTAGCAGCACAAAAGCCGATTTCAACTTTCTTCCCGCAACATGCATAGCGTAAAAAGGTTTTAATCAGAAAATATGTAGGTAAAGAAAATTAATTACAGTGTGGCTATTTTTCTATGTAGGTATACATAATTCAATCAATTATGACAGTACAGTATCTACCTACCAGACTTTTAAAGATGATCAAGTATGAACGTATTTGCATTAAATAACTACGAAGGTAATTTTGAATTCGAATTTTGTCGAAATTTCTTCTTTACATTGCCTTATACATCAACCTAGATCTAAAAACTGTGAACAAAATTTTGTATTCAAATGGAATGTGAATGATGTTTATCGATCGAGTGATGTATCCGATTGCAAAATATGTATATTCTGAAACCCATAATACAAACTGCTAAACAAATTCATCAGAACAGCAGAGCCAACTAAAAAAAATATAAAATGTTACTATAATTAACTAACAATACTGTTAATTAACGATATTTTTGTGGAATGATCTCCCGCTGGATGAGATCAGAATGTCCCTTAGTAAATATACCTTTAAAACCAAACTGCGAAGCTTTTTATTAAAATAGGCGTTTCGTTGAGTGGTTTGTCGTCATTATTTTGTATTTATTTTGGAAATATGTAAAATATGTATTTGTGTATTTATTTAAATATATTAACTTATGTATGTGTATGTTTATATATTATTATTTATATTTATTATTTTTATAAACTTTTGTTTCACAGTGATTTCCACTTCAGTTGTGCACCCTACTTCTAATAATCTCCACAACATCCTATGGTTGACTGGTAGAGACTGTCTACGGCATTAAGTCCGCCATTGTACATTTCTGCATAAAGAATAAATAAATAATCGACCATTCATCCTACGAATGCTTAAATGATAAATTTTTTGACCTTGTGTCTAAAATGTGTATAATATAAACAATTGATAGATGATTTATTTTTTGATGGACCATTATTTGATAGAATCTTAGGCCCATGGATTAAAGTTTAAAATTCATTCAAAAACAGCAAGGTAATCATATTTAAGTCTTGTTCTATCTTTATTCAATATTTTGGTGCAAGTGGGTCTTAATTTCTTATTTTAAATATGTTTTTATTACCATTGTTTAGTAACGAAATAGGCTCGACAGTCGATCTCCTCCCTGTCTTCTTCTTTTGACTGCAATGAATTAGCGATTCCATCGAATTCTTGCTTTATAAATTAATTGAGTTTGGAGTAATTGGACGGGCAAACTTATTTAGGAATTTCCTGATAGGTAATTTAATCCAAGCAATTACTACAGGTCACTGGGTGCTTATACAGGAGAGCAGTGAATCAAATTATGTCTGAGTTCCTTATTAACATTGTAACGGTACACAAACACTGATGCTAAATACGGAGGAAAATATATTTGGAGAACATTGGGAGCGAAAAAACTGTATAGACAATTATAATTTCAATAGTTGTTTGCAAATTCTGTCATTAGTTAGGTTAGGCAGTTCCACAGTGCAAGCCTATCTCAGTTTTGTATTTTGATAGCCTGCGCAGACGAGAGACTTTTGTTCGCGGAGGAAAATAGTGCCAATCGTGAAGAACATGTCCGCCGTGGTCATGTCACGGACTCAGAGCACATGGTGTGCGAATATTTGTTACCCGAAAATTTAGACAAGCGCATGCTATGGAAGAATTACGTTCTTTTGTAATGAACATGAAGTTTAAAACAAAGAGAAGACTTTTTAAAAGAAAATACTGGGTACATCATCGCGGACTAAAGTTCTCTGTGTGCGTCTGCTGCGCCTTGTCACATTATGTCCTATTTTTTGGGACACTCGCGTACTTTTGTCCTGTCTGGTCTCAAAGTGTCCTTGTTTGTTCAGTGGACTTTTATGCGGTATTTTTAATAATTCATGTGCCCTACTCGACGCAATTGTCAGTGATCAATTCCGACGGACAAAAGTCCCTCATCTGCATAGACTTGAAATTTTATCTAATAACTTAGTAATCGTTGAACAAATTTCTAGAAACTATGTTAGCGAATCTTAAGCCTCGTCTTTTTGCCGACATCATTGTGTTTTTGGTTTGTTAACCTAGCTAAAACCAAATTAATAATTATGGCATTTTTGAGATATTCTTACGAGATGATGAATTTGTATTAATGCATAAAATTTACATTTATGCTCTGACAGATTTGATATTACATATATTATTAACGTTTTTATTAACAATGTTTATTTAAAGTCATTATTCTAAAACGTCCAATAAAAGTTGAGTTGATGCTTATAAGTCTTCAATCCAGCTGTGTAATCTATGTTACCAAACAAACATAAAGTGGGCAGGGGTAAAAAAGGTTAATGATTGAAGTAGGCGGGTATTAAGGATTAAGCACGAGTTAAACCGAACGGTCGGACGAGGGGGCCTCAGACTTTTCTGATTACACCAACTGTTTTGAAGGGCTAAGAACTAACGAAGCGGTTTTTAACCGCACCCGCCACAGCGACGGGAATGCTGTTTAATTTCAAAAGTCAAGAGATCGCAGTTCTGTGTTGTCCTGCAGACGCTTCGCTTGAGAAAACGCTCGTATACAAGATCTGTGACAAGAGGTAATCGGACAAGAAAACGCCACGTCTGCGGTTGAGCGCAACCCGCGCGTGCTCGCCGTTGCAGCGGGTGCTGCAAACAACCGAGCACGAAGCAGGCGTAAATCAAGTCGTGAAACTCACTATTGTGCATTACCCACAATTTCATATTCTACGCGAGTTGCGGTCCCGCAGCCGCGACAGGCACGGGTAGAAATCGCTCCGTGAATTCCTATCCGTAGGGTAAGGCTGATGCGGCCGTAAAAACGCTTACACGCAAAAAAACCGACGGAATACACTGAACCGAGTAGGTAACGCTTCTGGGCCAAAATTACGGCGCAGTTTTTGTTGTGTACGCAAGACCGACACGTCTTTTATTATAGTACACAATGGCAGTTATAGAAATATTATTTTGTATTGGACGTCTTTTTTATATGTAGGTTAACTGGATCAATGGGAATAAACTATTCTATTGGGTGGTTGTATGTTTGATTCTCTTTAATTGCAAGAACGGTTTTGTCTAATTTTATGTAGCTCCTCCAGTCATGGATGTTTAATAAGTATTTCTATATAAATACATAATATGTACAGTATATGTATTCTATCCGTAACCCTTGTATCCCATAACACAAGACGTGCTTGCTCAGGGACTAGGCTAATTGATGTGAGTGTTGGATTTTTTTTTTTTTTTTTTTTAAGGAACCCAATAAATATCATTGAGAAATTTGGACAACATTGATAGGTGGACGGGTCATACATTGATGGAATACCTGGCTGGCGGAAAATTCTGACATAGCTAATAGGTACTATTTGCGAACTGGTTCTTTTTAATCCCCAGACATTCAAAGGTTATGAAGTTAATTTTAAGCTCGAAGAGACTTGACCTTTTCAGGGTTTCGTATCTTTAAAAGGGAAAAAAGGGATCGCTTTATTATTACTTTGTTGTCTGTCTGTCTGTCTGTCTGTCAAGACCCTTTTACTCGGGAACACGTGGAGGTATCGAGTTGCAATTTAAATCACTCAAGTATACAGTCCTTAGAAGCTTTGAAATAGTCAAATTTATAAGTTGACGCAAAAATGTATAACTTACTTTGTACGGAACCCTGTCGAATGAACCGTGGGCGAGTCCGAATTGCACTTGTCCGGTTTATAGTGTCACAGGGGTCATAAAAGAAATGTGCCTGTTTGCCATCAGTACCTACGGCCATCTTATTTTAAAATCTTATGTTCCAGTGCTCAGGCGAGCATTCAGCATGTTCGACTCGAGCAAACAGGGCAGGATTGAAAAGGAGAAGGTGCGCACCATCCTGAACACCATGGTCCACAGCTACGACGACAGGGAACTCGACCAAATTTTGGACAGCGAAGACGCTGACGGTATGTTTGAACATTTATTTTTATTTTATCGCGTTTTGTTGTATACAAAGGGATAATAAGATTTACAGAGCTCAGTGTAAAAGGATTGGCAGGACCTTGTGTCGCAGAGCTTTTATTGTCATAATATTCTTTTGCATGTCAGCGGATGGCATAAACTTGATTTCGCAGAAAATCCTTGGCCGTTCTGTCAGCAGACATTCAAACGCATACCTAATTTTGTAAAACGGAATCATTTTTAGGCATAAATTTAATATCCATAATAATTTTAATGCATAACCAATTACGTCTCAGAAGGTTCACAATCAGAATCGTTTTTTGTCATACAGGTATTTGAATTTGCCTTGTTTTTTTTTAATCTACTTTATCATACGTAGATAAATAAACAAGCCAAATGAAGAGATTCTGAGTAACCAAAGCGATAGGTTTTTCTATTGTATTAGCTATCTTCGCAACTGCTTCGCTTAACCTTGTATATTTTGGTACTCGGTTGAGAATAGAAGTAAATGCTGAAACATATTCTAAGCTACAAAAAAATATATAATCAATATTGATACTCTTATCAAGAGATTATTTATTTAAGCAACAATATTAATGTACTAACAAAATAGCGACTAGCGATTATCATTAGACGCTAAGATATTTTGTAGCAATTTAATTTAATTTGCGTGAATGTAATTTAAATGCGATTGTAATTAAAAAATTGCAATTTGCGTGAATATAAAATCTTTATTCACGTGGGATATAGATTGGTATTGATAAGATATTATAGGTAATTATTGAACAAAATCAATTGAAATGTTTTAATACACGCTATAAACCAATAATTCTAAAGAGGAATAATATTTAATTCAATTTTTAAACTATTCAAGTTATGTAGCTGAGATTGTAGCTAATATTTGAACCGAAAATAACTACAGTCAGTTACAAACTCGCCACACGATGGAAGATAACCGTGAAACACTCGTCACAACGTTCTTCGAAGAATTCGGAGACCTCCGCCACTTAAACTAATAAACAAATCTCAGCAGAGCAACAACGTCTCGCATAAAACGATGTAACGCAGCAAATTCACAAAAATAAACTCCCTTAATCCTGCTCTGTGGAGTGTCATTAGAATTTACGAGTGTTTCACTGTCGTCAAGTCGCTAGTGTAATGCCCACGTTGTCTGTAGTCTTTAGGTATCAACTAATTGAAACCTTAGTACATTGTATTAAAGTTTTCCTTAATCGCACTATTTGATAGCGTCTAGGTAGTTTATAGCCTCAATTTAGTCCAGACAAAAGGCAGAAGTGCTAAGGTGTTGTCGACTTAAGTGTATGATGCAAATAAATTGAGAGGCGATTATAAAGATAAATGTCAGTTTTTAGAAAGAATAAAACCTTATCTCCTTGAAACAGATTCAATTGTTATGACAGACGAGTTTATATCTTGAGTCGCACTATCTCGCACCTAAAGGTGCTTTGACAGATAAAAGATTTCAACTTTTTAAACTTTCATGAGTCTTTCGTTTGAAACGTTGTCGAGATAAACACTGAAATCTCAGGCGTCAAATTTTCTAACAACCTCGCTTAGGTTTTTAAAAGGTCGACCAACTTTGTCATGTCCAAACTCCGATAGGTACAGCTTCTGTACTACATTATCAACACTGGAGAAGCATCCGACCCAATAACATTTTACACGCCTAAGTGACATCAATTTTGACTGTGTAGTGAAGCACGGCACGACGTCCTCATTGACGCTAATGAAGAGGACATCTTTGGCATCAGCTCAAATTAATGTAACGCTGTTGAAGCTCATTGGATTGACAGCGTCTCTTAAGTTTTGAACCCTCTAAATGCTTATTTTAGAATGTGGATTTTTTTTAATTAATCAATCGGACTTCTTATCCTACTAACTACAAATGCGTATGTTTGTATGTTTGTTACTCACTCAATCTCACAAAAACTACTGAACGGATTTTGAAGAAAATGTGTACGCATATAAAGAAGGCATAAGATAATTTTCATCCCGGAAAAATTACAGGTTCCTGTACTAAAAACTAAGTTAACGCAGACAAAGTCGTGGGCGGCAGCTACTTCGTAATAAAATTTCTTTTCGCGAATCATAGACAACAATAGCGGTAAACATGTTTGTTTTAGATTTGATTCTACTCAAAGATATAAGTTGAGATTTTAGAATTGGAACTTGAAACTGGAATAGTGTTCACGTTAGCAAATTGCACATGAAGTTTGCTGCCAACGAACTCAGCTGTTACTTTTGCGGTGACGATTCTGTTTTCAAGGTCGATAAACTGAATTTATTGAATGAGTAAAAAAAAACAATGCTGTTGTTGCAAAACAAAAGTGTGAACTTACAATATCCCATTTCAATTTATCCGATTCGATTTGAAGAGGAACCCTGTTTAAAAAGGTTTTACGTGTAGAATGCAAAGACCCTTGTTTTCAAAGTGGAAATAAAGGGCAATGTTATAACGTTTGTGTTGGCCGTGTCCTAGACAGAGATACATAGAATGTTAAATTTATTGCATATTTAGCTATTATGAACTACTGCTGACTCGAGATTTCTCGCCCTTAACTAAGTGCCTCATAAATATCTTCGAGAAGATATAGTGTACGACATTAAAGTTTTAGACATATAACTTCGTTATTGTGGGCTTTTTTCTGTGATAATAATTATTCTATTAATATATATTCCATTACATATTTATGTAAAATAGTAAATGTTAAAAATGCTGTTAAACTTTGCGAACTAACCCTTAAATAGTTATACTTATTTTTATTTTTAAGCATAGAACTGCTAGATGTTTAAATCTAAAGAAAAAATTCTAAAGAAAGATTAACTGACCATTATGCTACCGCGGCTCTAATAATCTTGTAGAATTTTCATAGTATTTCTTAGGCTGCAAGGCAGCGTCATCTCTTCGCATTGTAGGTAACCAGTAAATAGTTTTGTCTGATCAGAACTTCTGGACCATTGTTTCAACGGGTTTTGAAGCTCGTTAACATAATTTTGCTCAAATTATCCCACGCATATTTACTGAAATATCTTAAGAAAATATTTAGGTCTAAAATAGTTCAACTCATGAGTTTCAGCATAGTGATGAAAGTTTTGGGATTTCGTGAGTTCTATGAGAAACAATAAATATAAACGACATGTTATTATTTGGGCCAAAAATATGGGAGGCGAAGCTCCCGTATGGGTTACAATGTTAACGACAGCACGAAGGATAAATTTATGTAAATATCTTCTACATATCGCTCCTAAGGCAGCTTCACAGACCTAATCTATGTCTATCGGCAGCTCTAAACCTCCCAGATTTAGCATATTTCAACTTTCAACTTAAGTTGTTATTTGAAAATAGCTAGCCCAACGTCTAGATATTAATATACGAGTATCTATAACTGCTTTGAAAATGTGAAAGTATGGCATATTCGGCCAAATTCTTGACTGCCCTATTCGTCCGATTGAAATTAGGGCCTTAAAAATAGTAAAAACGGTACCAAACCTGCCTTTTCTAAAATAAATTTAGGAAATCGCAGTGTTTTAATAAAAAAGTAGCACAAAAATCGAATAAATATGAGTCCGGTAAAACCACCTTTTAACTTTATTTTTCAAATCATAATATTCTTTAAGAAAATGTTTACCTATTACGGTTTTCATGAAATACAGCCTGCGGAATGACTGATCGCTCCGGATTATTTAATTTTACGGTAATTAGGATTCAAATGGACAAGTAGCTCGCAGACGACGGTATCGCAAATGTAGCCGTCGACCAGCCGTCAACCAACGGCAGCCGTCAATCTGTCCACGGCTGACGTCTCGTCGCCGGCGGTTATCGCTACGTTCACGACAGAAGTCGAAAACTGCCGCCGAAAGGTAGCGACGGCTGCATTTGTGATGCTGTGTCGGTTGCAGGCCACTCGTATACATATAATATGAAGCCTTACATGGCTACCTATAACTATTATTACCTAACTATCATTCTATTTTGTCAATAGAGTTCAAACTAATATGAGCTAATTCATGTGAAGTACTTCGATGAGGTCGCATTTAAAAGCCAATTAAAGTAAGATGCGGGGTGCGATCTCGACTGACACCAAGAGCAATTACAAAAGTAATTAGGAAGCGTCAGCAGATGTTCAGGTTTGTGGGACGGACGCTATAAAGGGGAACTTAGATCGGAGGGTTTAAAATAGCGAAATTTTTGTGATACATCTAAAAAATTATGGTTATTTAAAAAATCATTTTGAGTATTTCCAATGATACAAAGCTGTCGAATTTAATTTCCTGATGTGTTTATTTGGTTTCGGTTAAATAAAAAACATTAATGTTATCGGCGAAACGAGGAGGGTAGGATCTGGATGAAAGTGATAAATTTTGTATCATCGTATTACGTCGTAATTAAGAACTTCGGCAGGCTCGCAATCATCGTTTTTATGACCGAAGCTTTTTTGACATGACTTAAGCAATAAAAAACGGCGCTCAGCGAACCAAATGTACGCTTTTAAGGCGCCATTAATTCTGATATGCCCTGAAGTTGGTTATCGGATGAATAGCTTGGCTTAGAATTGTTTTTGTTTTTATAACACGGAGGTAGCAATAAGCATGCTGTCTGCCTTAAGACCATTGTTGTCAACCATTGAAGTACTATCTATATTGTGATTAGAGCCCAGCCACGTTATTATCGGTCAATAATAACGGATGCGGATGCGTTATTGCGATATTTCGTCATACTATTACGTCGTTATTATCGTAGCAGTCTGTAACTTCGAAGCCGTTCTGATACATAATGGACTAAAAACAGATATCGCCTAACGCATCCAATATGATCGACTGATAATAATGCATAGGTGCGGTATTAAGGCGCAAGAATAAATTTGACGTTGTGCGAGTTGAAGCTCAACTTGAAATAATAAATAAAATAACGAACAGGCTACAAAGGAGAGTTCCTTGTTGAGCTTTGCGTCTCCATTAGTATCGAAACAGACATTTGCGTGAAGCTTTGACGATGAAAGTGTATTTCTGATTCTTTCAGTTTTTTTTCCATTTATTTGAATTCAGTGTCCATTAAAAAGAACCTAAACCGAATCCTAAGATGCCGAAACAGTGATAAATCTACGAGCGGACACTTCTGTGAACACTCCTACGTAGAAAAAAATATTTTTCCCTCGAATAAGAACTTTTCGAGAGCTCTAACGAGTTTCGTCGGGGAAAATCTGGAACTTAAAAGTTGTGCGATTGGTTTTTTTTATGTTCACAATATCGTGGGTGTCAGGATAAGAATTATTAATAAAAGTTTGAGACCGAAATAGCACCGAACGGATAGACATCTTTTTTTTTGTGAACACTATTGTCGTTACTGTTGTTTGAAATGGCAGGCAATGGATTTACTCCATTACCGAGCTAAGAGATTCGTATGGTACTTCTAAGCAGGGAAATGGCGTGGCTCTAGTGGTTTTCTATGAGAAGAACATCTCCTGTCGGAAAAAGTCTTCGCTCCTCCGTAAAATCACTAGGCTCCTTAATCATAATCTTTATTTTCATCATCAATACTCAGTAGTGATCCTCTTAACTTATTACTAAATTTAACCTCAGTCTCTCGATACACTGTGGTCAAATGAAATTTTAGGTTTAGAGAATTATGCCAGAATCAACACCACCGGTGTATGGATACACTCTTGTCAAACTTAAATTTGAAAAGAGTGTATCCTTGTCATTCTTTATACAGAATGAAAAGGAGAGACAGATGTTAAATTAAGTTTTAAGTTAAGGGAATAATGCCAGAATCGACACCAGTAATATACTTAAGCCTGAAGGTCGTCGGTACAGCTAAAAGACGTATCTAAAGACTCGGAACTACACTCTTGTGGGGAGAGCGACGGAGGAGGCTGATAAAGTTGTAAAGACCTCTAGCATAGGTCCACTTGCAGCCATTTTTCTAAACCTCGATTTAACTGAAACTATAGTGTATCCATCTAAAGAAAAGTTTACTAGAAAAAAATCCACGCGGACCAGGCAGCGGACGGGACTCGAACCCGCATCCTTCGCAATCCGGGCGAATGCACTGACCATTATGCTACCACGGCCCTCTTAGCCGCGTCGAAATTTTCCTAGCCTTAAGCTGCAAGGCAGCGCCATCTCTTCGCATTGTAGGCAACCCACAATGTCAAATGAATACTTTTTCAAGTATTAAACATTTGAAAGAAGATATAGCAATTATAGTTATGATTTTATTTATTTTTAAGCATTTAACTGCTAGATGTTTAAATCTAAAGAAAAGTTTACTAGAAAAAAATCCACGCTGACCAGGCAGCGGACGGGACTCGAACCCGCATCCTTCGCAATCCGGGCGAATGCACTGACCATTATGCTACCACGGCCCTCTTAGCCGCGTCGAAATTTTCCTAGCCTTAGGCTGCAAGGCAGCGCCATCTCTTCGCATTGTAGGCAACCCACAATGTCTTTGTCATTTTTATATAGGTTAAATCTAGTTTTAGTTGAATCGAGATTTAGTAAATTTGCTGCAAGTGGGCCTTAGTTTAAGTTCAATGACGCAGCGATTAAAAATTGTAATATCCAAATTATAGGAGCAGCTTATAACGCTGGAACATCGACGGCTGTTTAGAAAATAGCACAGCAGTTCAGTTCAGCAATGGATAATTTCCTTTTTAACATAAATTATGTTCGCAAGCCCAAAGCTCGTTCATTATTGAAAGTATCGACAGCTTTGAGCTTTTCATTAAGCTTTGTCGTGTCACGTCAATGCAAAAAAGGAACTTTCCTATGTTGTTCTACCTCTGGAATCATTAGTAAAAACCTGCCAACATTTTGAAAGAAAGTGAGTTTTAAAATCAGAATGCAAAGAGTATTAACGCTCAAATTTATTTATTTTTATTACATAATGGCCAACGTCCAAAAATAAAAAATGCTTTTGAAACTATATTGACGAGATGAGATTGACCTCTCGCTTACATTGCAAGCGAAAACAACTGGCAGCCACCCCGGCCGCGTCTGTCTGTAAGACATTTAAAATGCCGATTTCTGTAAAAAATAATAACTGACGTATTTTCATATGTTCACCACCACTTGTATGTGATAATTAATGAATCCTGTATTGTATGGTCCTAAATCAATTAATTTCCACATATTTCCAATGCAACTCTAATGACTTCAAAATGTTTGCACATTATAAAAAAAATACTCTTATCACGACAAACGTGGTCGCGTTCGTATCTAAACATAACTTTAATTACAAATTTTACATAAATGAGCTCGCTAAAACGCGTTGAATTTCACAAGCAACGTCGTATTTTATTTCTTGAATCGAATTGAATCTTGAATTGGCTCGAAAAAAGCAATTTCCCCGGGCGAGCGTCAGCAATATATCAAGGCCTGCGCCTGTTAGCGTTGCGTTACGGCGAATGCAAATGGTCGCGCCGTAAGAAATGACGCCTCAGACTGTATCGGAAGTACGCATTCATTAGTAACGACGACTAAAGACCTTGCGACGGTAATATAATAGAAGAAATAAGGAAATTCGGTGATTTAGATGTAGATAATTTCTTTTGTATCCAGAAACTGTAATAAGTAAGAATCTGATGAAAATTTTACTAGAAAATATTTCATAGTGCCCCGGGGATGTGCCCCTTGGTTTAGTGGAGTATTTTCTAGGATTTCTTTGTTTAGATTTATAGATAAAGCTGTTTATGCTAAAAATAAAAAGGCAATAACCTTTAAATCATCTCTTCAAGTCCCCTCTGCTGGGGCTCAGGCCTTCCCTATAAATGAAATAGGGGGTTTAGACGTGGGCCCAGTGCGGATTAGTGGGTGCTAACGACTGCAGATGCAGGTGGGATCAACGGCATAACATGCCTTCCGAAGCACGGAGGAGCTCGAGATAGTAAATTATTGGTCACCCATCCAACGACCGACCACTGCGAAAGTTGCTTTACTTAAACGATCGCAGCTGAACGCGCTAACCACTTGCGAGCTCCTCACGCTTTAAACTTTTAAATAGGTATTTTAAATATCATACGACTTATGAGGAAGTATTTAAAAAATACGGCTTATTTAAAATACATAGTGATCGTGATCGACAATAGACTTCTGCATTTACATATCATCATCATCAACCCATGCTGGTCCGATGCTGGACATAGGTCTTCCCTAATGCACGCCACTGCTCCCGATTTTCCGCCACTCTCATCCAACCCATTCCAGCCAGCCTACGAATGTCATCATCCCATTTACATGTATTGAAAGTTATCTCTGCCAAACCCAGAATGAGCACAGAATAAACATAATCCGAGAAACTATTTACACTCTTCATGGTCTCATACACTTGAGCATAACTCAAAGCGCCACAATCACTTTTCTCAGCATCGCAAGGCCTTACTTAACTAGGATTCAAAGTGCCTTGCGTAGTTAACGAGACTCAGTCAAGAAATTAACGTTAACTGTGGAGTAATTAGTGGCGTTTTAGCTTATCTCCGCTCGTAATGTCGCCGTTGAGGTGATTAAATAGTCTAAGTTAACAACTAAGGTCTTGGGTAAATAATCCGAGCAGCATACTCAACGCCCATGATAAATGCAATCACTTGTTTATGCTTTATTGTCTGTCTCATATTCCAGATATTTATATTTAACTAGCGGCCCACCCTCGCTTTGCTTCGGTGTAGAGCTAAAGTGTAGACTACAGTTTTTGTTCTCAGGCTTGTATTATACACAATGACATTCATCTATGATTCTTCTTATACCTGAAAGTGCAAATGTCCATGCAAAGTCTCAGCCCGATCGGTTTAAAATTGACAAAGTTTCATGCAACCTTCCATTCCCTATTTTATCCCCTTGGGGGTAGGATTGATCAAAATCCTTTCTTAGCAGAAGCCTACGTCATAACATCTACCTGCATGCCAAATTTCAGCCCGAACCGTCCAGTGGTTTGGGCTGTGCGTTGATAGATCACTATGTCAGTCAGTCACCTTTGAGTTTTATATATATAGATTTTCAAGGAGCTCGATTCCGCGGGTGGTTAGCGCGTTCGGCTGCGATCGTTGAAGTTAAGCAACTTGCGCAGTGGTCAGTCATTGGATGGGTGACTAAAAATCTTGTATCTCGTGTTCCTCCGTGCTTCGGAAGGCACGTTAAGCCGTTGGTCCCGGCTGCATCTGCAGTCGTTAGCACCCGCTTCCAATCTGCTTATTGCATCCACACGGAAGGCCTATGCCCCAGCAGTAGGGACATTGATAGGCTGATGATGATGACATTTAATTTTCAATCATAACAGATTAAAATTACAAACACCATTTACAACAGGGTAAGTGGTGAGAGCACCTTACAATTTTCCTCGCACTTAAAGCGCTTATAACGACGACGTTATCTGAATACTGTCGTCCTTCTTTTTGTCTTCTTTTTCTCGCAGATATAAAAAAAACGGATTCACAAAACTCTTTAAATTGGTAATCATGAAATACAATTTTCTAATACTAGTGATAAATATTTGTGGCACCTACTTTATCCCAAACAGTATTTATTTATACAAAGCACAGAAATTTACAGGATTCCTCTTGTGGCAGCGACATCTATCTTCAGAAAGACATTATTTAATTGTCTTTTAAAAGTTGGATGTTGCTTTTCCAGGAGAATGCTCCGACACTGCTTCTCCTATATAAACTATATTTATATGAGTGCAGTGTTAAATTTTTGTACGAAAAAACTTAATCAAGATAATGTGACTAAATTATGCTGTAACTTTTTTATTAACTTTCACAGGCAGCGGCAAATTGAACTTTGACTCATTCGTGCGGGTAGCCACACATTTCCTCGACGAAGATGACGAAGCTCTTCAAAAGGAACTCAAGGAAGCTTTCAGGCTATATGATAAAGAAGGTGAGTCCACAACAAAGCTACCGAAGTCAGATAGAGAATTATATATTAAATAAAAATCAAAATTTATATAAATGTAAAAAAAAATATGTAAAAGCCAATTCATCTTCATCACTTTTCTACTCAAATGTAATGCTAGGGTTAAAAATATTTTTATTTTAGATGTTTGTCTCTTTTGATTGCTCAATAAGAACTACATAGTCGGATTGTATATCGTTAAAATATATAGATTCGCGGCTCTCTATATTAAATTCGTATGGTCTGTTTACACAATAAACATCGGATGAAGCATCCACTGCCCCATGTTTGATTCATACTGACATTGTTTGATCTACACAAACTTTGCCGACAGCTTGAACACTGTGCGATAGTGTTAATACATAACTACTTTGGGAATAATAAAATAATAGTTGATATTAAGTGTAGAATTAATGATCGATGTAAATAATTAAAGGTTCGTGTCGTGACACATTGTCCTTGACTTCTTTGAACCTATTCCACCATAAACCGGGTGATCTAATTTCATATTTTACCTGCTTGGTTGGGCCCATATTTTTTTTAATGTCATTATGTATATTCCTAAAATAGACGATTTTTTTCTGATTTGTTTTTGTAAATCCCTAGGCGATCTAATTTGATCGGAAATTAGTATGCATATCGTAGAACGATTTGGTAAATCTAACTTTTGCAAAAATCCTAGAGATTTTGCGAAAACGCGGATAATTAGACATCGGTGTCGATTCTGGCATGATTGTCTAAACTTAATTTAGCATCAGTCTCTCCTTTTCATTCTGTATAGAGAATGACAAAAATACACTCTTGTCAAATTTAAGTTTAGGTTTAGAGAATCATGCCCGAATCGACACCAATAGCATTGTTATTTCTCAATCGATACATTATTTATAAACTTAAACCAATTAAGAATTTCGATATCTAAAGTTATTTTAATAAACATGTAAAGTCCATTATATAATATATCATATTAAATAAAAAAGTGGGCATCTAAAAAGTGCTAAATGATCACAGTTTATAAAATGAAATCACCGCTTTAAACGAACTGTGTAAGTGTAACGGATTACGTATTCTACAGAGTATTCATTCCAAGTGATACATAAAAATTTGCATGCTTTATGTCTCGTCATAAAAATAAATATAAACAACACAAACATATGCCACGCCATTACAACAGCGTTTGTAGTAAAATTTTAATGCTTAATATTATGGAACTGCATTCTGCAAACGCTGTATTTTTGTATCACTATGAAAAAAAAACAAGTTAATTGCCCATCATAGTTGTTCAGAGTGAACGCCAATTCTTTCTGGAATAATGCCCAACATACTCCATACCATCAGCCTATTAATGTCCCCACTGCTGGGGCCTTCTCTATATGGATGGAATAGGGAGATTGGGCCATGACCCACCACGCGGGCCCAGTGCGGTTTGGTGGGTGCTGTCGACTGCAGAGACCAACGGCTTAAAGGCCTTCCGAAGCACGGAAGAGCTCGAGATAGTAAATTTTTGGTCACTCATCTAATGACCGACCACAGCGAAAGTTGCTTAACTTCAACGATCGCAGCCGCGCTAACATCATGCGCTATCGAGCTCCTAAATATACTACTATATTATAGGCATTACTGTTTATAATAATAATAATACAAAACACTTTATTGCTCACATACAAAAAGACATAGGTACAATAAATACATTTAACAATAATGTGGGCAAAGGCGGCCTTACCGCTAAAACCGATGTCTTCCAGACAACCTTCGCGGTATAGGTAAGTTAAACGGAAAAGAAGATATAGTATGCCAGTAGAATCTGTAAGTTAATCCATGGTCTGTTTATTGAAGCAATAAACAATTCAAATAATTACATTCCGTGGTATTGACCACGAAATGTAATTTTAATTATTTGAATAATTATGGCGAGACATGCCTTTTGTATCCGATACACATCTGTTCCAATCTTTATTCTATCGTTTTGGTGGAACGGTGAAAGAAAGACCTTTTGTAGCCGAATCTATATATATATAATACAAAGGTGACTGACTGACATAGTGATCTATCAACGCACAGCCAAACCACTGGACGGATCCGGCTTTTTGGCATGCAGGTAGATGTTATGACGTAGGCATCCGCTAAGAAAGAATTTTGATCAAGTCTACCCCCAAGGGGATAAAATAGGGAATGAAATTTCGTATGAAATTTTGTCAATCAAACCGATCGGGCTGACAGGCTGGCAGGTATAAGAAGAATCATAGATGAATGTCATTGTGTATAATACAAGCCTCAGAACAAAAACTGTAGTCTACACCGAAACGGAGCGAGGGCGGGCCGCTAGTATTGTATATAATTATACATTTGTCGTTTGTCTTGTGAATGAGAACGTATTCAACAATACGACTAGATAACTAATGTAGTACCAGAAGTATTTGGCAATACTACAGCGCTACCGATTTAGCACCAATTAATGGCTGACACGGTATTTGACTCGTTAACTTTTGAACACGAAAACACGAGCGAATTCGAGGTTAGACAGCTGGATAACACTACAAGGCCTCGAGTTTGTTAGCAAATTTACAATACGTCGATCAGGCTTGCTGCACAGCTTTATGAGCTGGTTCTGCATTTGTGTATACAATATAATAGGAGAACATTTTTTTGAGGGAATAAATTATATTAATGAAGATGATGTTTAATGACTGGACCAGGTTAGACTGAATTTTATTAATAACAACGATATTTAATAATTGGATTACGCTGTGCGAACTCCATTATATTGGTATTATCTGGTTTTATATTAAAATCTAAAGGAAAATGTCAATGTTAAAGAACTACATATTCCCTTTTCCAACTTGAACCTTGAGAGATCTGGGAAGAAGAAAAATGTTCACAAGCATACAGAGAAATAACACTAGCCTTTGACACGATTATATTTCTGTTGGCAAGCAATGTTCAACTTTTAGGGGTAAGAGATTGAGTTCATGTCGGCAGGTGGGAATAAGTATCTGTCCAACCAACTGTGTCCGGGAGGTGTCTCTGCCAGGGGTCATTTGGAAAGTCAGGATCCCACAAAACCCATTTGGCAGACGAGGGAGGACTATTGAGTTTTTAGTACCTAATTGGAGTTAGGGTAAGAAATATTTACATTCATTTACTTCTTTATTTACGTTTGTAGGTAACGGCTACATCCCCACGTCCAGCCTGCGCGAGATCCTTGCAGCCCTAGACGACCAGCTGACGCCCGACCAGCTCAACGAGATGATCGCAGAGATTGACACTGACGACTCGGGCACTGTCGACTTTGACGGTAAATCAATCCAGCTCCATTAAAAAGAGATAATGTAAAGGTAGACTTCTGTGCATCCCGGCCTATTGCAGCCGTGCGCCATCGTTTGCGTGCGATTGTTGCACGCGGCTGATGCGATCGGTCACTGTTTGGCACCGTGCGGCCGACGTAGTTTGGTCGCAGAAACGGCGCCACACATTTTCATACACTGACAATTGTCACATCAGCCGACTTTCGCGCATCGTGGATTGAACCTAAGCATCAAGGTCTCATGCCGTAAATTTCCGAAGCAGTGCTGTAGTTTTTCAACATTCATAAGTGCTTCTAAAAGCTTAATCTGAATAAACGATTTTGATTTGAATCCTCTTAATATGGTTGACAGAAAAGGGGACAATAGGGATGATGCGTATTTTTTTTTCTTCGTTTATCAGGTAGATTATCAAAAAGTATTGGACACGTATTTTTTTCTTTTTTCACATAATATAAACATTGCAGAGATATATTGATTTAAAAAGTCGCATGACATCACGTTTAACACTTATAAGTGAAAATTCACTCAAAAGTGACGTCACGAGCCCCTTCTCCCAAACTTTGACGCGCTATAACTTTGTCATTTTTTGGTTGATTGCCCAAAGAAAAAATACGTGTCCATTATTTTTTGATTATCTAACTGACGGACTAAATAGAATTTCGTTTACTGTACCCCGTCATCACCCCTATTAAGAGGGTCATCTACTCGGATCTCGCGGTCTTTAAAAAAATCTCCCATTAGTATGGGAGTCTAGTGACTGATCTGGGGGTACACTAGTGCTCCCGCCAAGAAGACAAGACAAGCCGACCGAAGCTCAAGGGAACTACCTATCTTTTCTCAAAGCGACGAAGCGCGTTTTGTTTTTGAATAGAAAAGTAATGAATGATCAGTGAATACATTTTTCACCCATAGCCAAGCCTTGTAGGTAGAGTTAAGACTGATAACTTTTTGACAGTGCGAGGCATATGGCGAGACAATTTCACTCGCAACACTTCTTGGCAACACTTTAAATGAACATATTCTTGGTGGAAGTACTTTTAGTGGAGATACTAAAAGTATATCAAATGAAATAGCATATTCGAAAACTGTTATGGCTGATATGAGTTTGTAACCCATAGTTGTTCATATTTCCTGGAAATTATTATACTATAGAGAGGTTTTAGTAGTAGGTACTATAATTAATATATTAAAATCTAATTGTTTCAGAGTTCATGGAAATGATGACAGGCGATTAAATTGTGGATGGATCAATTACGTCGTTAATGAGAAAATAACCTAGTCACTAATAAATACCTATTTTTCATTTAGTTTAGTTTTATTACAACTGATTGAAACCTCCGCATAGTTGCACTAGCAGAGATCTATAAACAAAGCTTGGCTATATTGTTTAAATCTAAAGAAAATAAAACTAGAAAAAAATTCACGCGGACCCGGCAGCAGACAGGACTCGAACTCGCACTCTTCGCTATCCGGGCGAATGCACTGACCAATTATGCTACCGCGGTCCTGACGGCCGCGTCGAAATTCTTCTAGCCATTCTTAAGCTGCAAGGCAGCGTCATCTCTTCGCATTGTAGGTAACCCACAATGTCAAATGTATACTTTTACAAGTTTTAAACATTTGAAATATGGAATAACAATTATAGTTAATATTATAACTATAATTGCTATTTCTTTTTTTAATTTTTTCAAGTTATATTTTCTTTAGATTTAGAGCTTGACTACGAAAAAGAACTTTGTAATAATGCAACCTCTCTGCACATATATTATTAAATAGCTTTTTCTCTATGAGGATAAGCTCGATGACGCAGGTGGATAGCGTTCGGCCTGCTCTCATGGAACTTAAGCAACTTGGATGGGTGACCAAAAATTTACTATCTCGAGCTCCTCCATACTTTGGAAGGCATTCCGGGCAGCTACACACATAATTAGGCCGGCGTTAAACGGCAAAGCCGGGCGGCAAAATAGTGTTCAAAAAATGGTAAGAAGAAAAGTCTTATTAGTTCGGTTAACAGAACTGATCAACAGAACTAATGGGAATAAAGGAAGCTGTAGGAATGGATGGACGGAAGGAATATTATGCACTAAACGAAGCAAGGTGGAATACGCGGGACTCATTACCATACTAAATGAAGATAATCGAAATTCGAATGTTCACGTTAGGTAAGTATGTAGGTAGGTAGAGATACCAACCATTTGTGCATCAAATTACTCCAATTTGAATTCACCGAGCTCGTTCTGTTAATGTCTCCCCCTATTTAGTGTAAATTGCACGACAGAGCTAAAGTTAAATTTTACTACAGCTTTTAATGGCCTCGCTTGGACAATTGTAAATAATTTTCATTGTCAAATTTTGATTATCGTCAAATGGTACAACCCATTTTTCGTAGACAGTTTTACGTAGACAGTGGCGCCCTCCGTCAACTGTCACTTAAATGCATATGGATCGTTGTCCCTCCCTCCGATTCCGTTGGCCTAGGCACGTCTTAGGCCCTGTCATCAGCGCTGATGGGACCAGCACCAGCTCATGCTGAGATTGAGTCCTGTGGGCCAATCGCCTAACCAGATTGCTTTGGAAAACGCTATCGCTTACGATTTCATTTTGTTATTTCTAACCGCCGAAATACCTCACGCTCATTTTCTTTAACATTGTTATTACCAATGCAAAAGAAAAAAAAAGAGCGCGAGGCATTTGAAAACCTCAGGGGGCTAGAAATAACAAAATGAAATCGTAAGCGATAGCGTTTTCCAAAGCAATCCAGTTAGGCGATTGGCCCCCTGGTTAACCCTTATTAACATTGTTATCGTATATTCCTTCTTTTTACGATTTATCTGTGTATAATTAATGGGGGTTGATAAAAAACTCTTTTTCTTTCTTTCTTGTCATTTTTTACTAACCGGTACCATAAATGAGAAGTTACGAATAAAGTAAGCTAATGCAACGTTCGCAGTGTAATTAAGGTTTACGTAACATGTATGTCCGAGATGATTCTATCAAGTTGGATTTCGATAGAAACTGTTGAAATGAGATTTAAAAGTGCTGGAGTCAGAAGATGTATCTCAAAAAACCAAGAACAAAAATTGAAAAGTGCAAGTTCGCGCAGGAATGGCAGACATGGGCGATAATACACTTCCAGACACGTCTACTGACCCACAAATCATTTCAAGTTTTACGGTCCCAAGCTTAACATAAATATTACATTGAGCAAAAAGTTATTACCTATGCAGTTTTGAAGCAAGATTCATCATCATCATAAGCCTGTTAATGTCCCCACTGGGGCATAGGCCTTCTCTATGGATGAAATAAGAAGATTGGGCCATGAACCACAACGCAGGTCCAGTGCGGATTAACGGGTGCTAACGACTGCAGATGCAGCCGGGACCAACGGCTTAACGTGCCTTCCGAAGCACGTAGGAACTCGAGATAGAAGATTTTTGGTCACCCATCCAATAACCGACCACTGCGAAAGTTGCTTAACTTCAACGATCGCAGCCGAATGCGCTAACCACCCGCGCCATCGAGCTCCTCCTCCTCGAACTAAACGAGCGCCATTATCACGTTTTACGTTTGAAGACGTGTGAACGTAATAAATTACCAGATAAAATTTTTACTTTTCACTGAATTATCTATGAGGATCCTTTCTGAAGCGAGAACCGAAGCGCAGTTCATGCATTAAAACGCCTCTCGTGCTGAAGTTAAAAGAGCCCCATTTGAATTACTCAGAACCAACGCTGAAATTTGAAAACGAAGCTGAAGATTCGTTTTGTACGTAAAAGTTTATCCTATTTAGATGTACTTATTTTAAAATCACCATCTAATTACATACTTTCGAAAGTGCAAGAATTATTGCAATAATAACTCATGGCGACAAAACGTGGCCAATTTTATATACCGAGTAACTGCGGGTTACTTTGACCTAAAATGTGCACTTTTTTTTCAAATAAAATTGTAGCTTCTCTTTGTGATGAATATGTCAATTTTATATCTTTCCATTGTGAACTTTAAAGTATAAGTTACAAAGTTATCATACGAAAATAGGAAAAAATAATATTTAAGGGTTAATATATATTTTTTTAATTTTGGGCCTAAGTTGGCCTTAAAGACGGTTACTTTAGCTCGTTGAGTTTTCTCTGTCAAAAAAACTCATTTTAAGCCATGTTGGGGTTAAGTAACCCTTATAACAGATCACAATTAGCATACTGAATACACAAATGGATGCTTTTGTCCAAAAGTAATTAAGTTAAATAAATAATATAACTTTAAATTTAGAAAAAATAATAAACTTACCGAAAACCGCAGTTTTGGGAAAGTTTGCGCATGAACTTGCGAACTATTTCAGTTACAAAAAATCCCGCGTTACAATGACTACTTGATACAGGAACGATGTCGGTAAAACAACATCACACTACGCGCCTATATGGCTATCTGTGATTTTCAACTGGAACTATTACGGTCACCCAAGAGGTATACTGATGGGGCGGCAATTTCAATATTTTTTCTGATTTGGGACAAAGTTACCCGCCCGAGCTAAAGTAACCCTCACTTACGGTATAGATTTTAATATCTCAATTAACTTTTTGACTAAATTTGATGCTGTCACTTTCTCAGTGGAACAATAGACGTACCTTATTGAAATTGTGTTAATTAATATATAGGAAACTCTGCATGATAAAAAAAATCGGCCGAAATAATTTTTAGAGTATAATCGCGTTTTGGCGTGGTTCATCCATGGGAATAACCCACTGGATGAACCACTCAAAAACGCGCCTCAGAGTTGGAGCGAAAATAATGTGCATACACTTTTTTATAAACAAGGCAAATTATTCCAACCCAGAGTCCAGCTGCGAAGATAACCAAGGCGATTCTCACAATGCCCCACATTACGCTCCGGGGTGCCGGGCAACGGAGTCATCATCACGGAGTTGCTGGGGTGCAGATTTGCATCATTATGCAGATTTTGCTGTACAAATTCGTGTCATGTAGGCGCGTGATGTGCTACCACTACGCGTGAATGCGTTTTCCGTGTGTTGCACTACGCGTTTTAATGCATAGAGGGATACCTTTTTTTATGTTACAAGGTTGACAAACAAACATACGGGCCGTTTGACGATAAGCGGCCACCATTGACTATAGACGCTTGCGATACAAAAAACATCACTCGTGCCTTTGCTTACCTTAGAGTGGGTACTTAAGTCACTGGGTTTTCCTATTTTAAGTACCCACAGATCCTTAGTTTTAAAATATCCTGTGCTTGTTATTTGTAAACCATATTGTATAAAAAATTTTGGGAATAAATCATTATTATTATTATTACCCTGACCTAATACCCTACCCCGTAGATGTACCTGGTACCTTACTCACCGACAGAAATACAACACCTCCAAAAGGTGCACCAAGCATTGCTCTTTTTAAGGTCTTCTGCAAGGTGCCCTACCTCTCTTAACTTTCAAGTAATGTACTCCCATTCTACGCTGCGCGATGCGGCTCAGTGTGGGAATCGCCTGATGCGGCAGAATAGTGTTTCAGTCATCCTCTCTCTGCCGATTTGAATCCGATCCTTACTCACCAACAGAAACACAACAGTACGATTAATGGGTCACATAACGAAGAAATACCCAACATCGAGATACGAGTAATATTCATCAAGATTAATCAATGTACGGATAAACGTAATCATTTTAGTTAAATATTACAAGGGTGACAGAGCTAATTTACAGAAGTAGGTAGGAAAACCTTCAGTTTTAATCTGAAATTGATAAATGTTCCTTGATTCACGTTAAAATGTTCTATAATAAAGCGTTAGCTATCAAATTATATAGTACAGTTATTATAAGTCTAATCTAAAAATTTCATAATTGTGCAATGCTCAGCTCTTAATGTTGTTTGTTTTTATGATCAGTTGAAAAAAAATAACTATTTCTTGCGCAGATATGAAAAATATGATTAATATAAAATTTTTTAAATGATTTTATATAATTGATATTATCTCTTTTTAGTAGGTACATTATGTATTAAGACGGCTACGAAGTTGCACACTGCTGCGATAATAACGACGCAATAGAAGTAGTACTAAATATCGCAATAACGCATCCAATATTATCGACCGATAATAACGCGCCTATGAGTGGAAGTCTTTACAAAATAATACAAATCGTGAAAATTGTGTCCATAACAATAATTTAAAGTCATTGCTCCATACTTGTTTAGAGAAGCAATAGTTTAGTGTCTTTGGTTCATACATAATACCTATACAGAATAATAAAAAAAAATTAAGGTAACCATAGTTAACTAT